GGGTCCCCGCCCCGCTCGCTGCTGCCCGCCCCACCCCAACCCTGCCGCACAAGTGTTATTTCCCTGCAGAGCCGGCCGGCTACGACCCCGAGAACAAGTTTGCCGACCCGGTTCTCTACTTCAAGCACCGTGAGGCCAAGGTGGCTGAGGAGTACGTCAAGGTGGCCGAGGCAAAGGTGCGGGAGAGGTAGCACGCTGGGGACGCTGGGACAGCGGCAGGAGCGGGCCAATGGCAGCAATGCACTCCTTGGGCCTGGAAAGCAACGCAGACAAGCTCGCTCGGTGCGTGACAATCGCCTCCCTGCTGCAGCTGATCCGCAAGGAGCTGAAGAAGTGCTATAAGGAGTCGGGGGTCAACTACCAGCAGAAGTGCCGAGACCTGGCGCTGGTGCGGTGGCTGGGGAGGGCCGTGGGCCGCCCGCGTCAGCCGCGTGCACCAACCGCGGGGCCACCACATTGCCTCCCAGCACCTTGCTGGCAGTGTTCAGTGGTTAGCACGTTCTTCCCATGCCTCGATCAATCTGACTCTCTGCCCGCTTGTGCCTCCACCAACCGCCGCTCCTGCTGTGCAGGAGTACCTGAGTGCCATCAAGGGGGTGGGCATCTACCGGTCCAACTCGGGGCCACACGACGAGCCGCGGTGGGAGCAGTACAATGCCGGCCTGAACCAGAAGGAGACCTGAGCGTGCAGCGCCCGAGTCTGCAGCAGCAGCAGCAGTGCCTGGTGGCAGTGCGGCACCCGTGGGGGGCGCCGTGCCGCCAGAGCAGCAGCAGCAGCAGCGAATTTGCGATCTTGCCAAGAGCTGATTGATTCAGCCACCGCCACCTGCCCATGTGCCCCTTCACCGGTAGAGGCCCGACTGTGGGCCCTCCGTTGCCAAAGTGAGGCACACCCTTGACACGCCTGGGGGCATTGTAATCAAGCCCGACAAAACCCTGTGCAATTCTGGAGCAGGAGCGGAAGTGCTTGCGACTGCAGTTACACACCAGCAAGGTCCTTTGCATGCATGCTGTGAGGCGTCGGCTGCTCACTGCTGCCTCCACTCTGCTCGCAGCTCTGCCAGCGCTGCAACGGTGCCAGGGTGCACACACACCGGCTGCTGCTGCTGCTGCTGCTGGCCGCCTGATGCTGTCGACAGCCCTGGCTGCTGCTGCAGGCTGTAGCTGGCGTGCCGCTGCCGCCAGTAGCTGGCTGCCGCCCGCCAGTCAGTCCCGCCGCTGCCCACACCTTGTGCTGCCAAGCACCTGCTGCCATCAGCTGCGGTGACATGGCTGGCTGCTGCCGCAGCTCCTGGAGCCACCTGCTCCTGCTGCTGAGCTGTCGCTGGCAGCTCGGCATTGCAATGCCCCTGGCTGATCAGAATTGTGGCGGTGAACCCGCCGCCGCCACAACCGCTGCACTCTCCTCCCTCACGCTCCCTGGGGCGTGTGCCGGGGCCTGCCACAGCCGTGCCCAGCTGCCTCTTGGAGGCTGGCTGCCGCCGCGCGGGCTGCTGCAGGATGCTATGCAGGCTGCTTGCACCGGCGCCGGCGCTGCTGCGTGCCCGGCTGGACGCTGCCTGGGCGGCAAACGCCGCCAGCCCCTGCTGCTGCAGGCGCCGCTCGCGATGCACCTCCGCCGCGCTGCCGAGCACGCGATCCTGATGTGCCGCCGTCGCTGCCGCCCGCCACGCCAGCAGCACGCGCCGCAGCGGCGCCTGCACTTGCCAGCGCAGCCAGAAGCGTGCCAGCAGGCCCGCCGTGTCCTCGGCAGCGGCACGCCAGGCTGCCAACGAGCAGCGCAGCAGCAGCGCCCGCCGCTGATCCCGTGCTGCCTCATAGTCCCAATGGCGGTCTGCGGGCGGGCAGGCGACAGGGAAGCAGCCGCAGCATGACATCCCCGCCCACAGAACACGCGCAAACACAAGCGCACCGCGGCGGAAGCATAATGGGGGTTGGCGGTGGTGGGCGGCCAGGGCATCCCAGCCCAGCACAGAGGCCTCACCTGAGGTTGCTGCCAGGCGCCGCCACTCGACAAGCGCCTTGGCTAGCAGGCGGGCCAGGCGCCGGCCCTCGCAAGCGTCTGCCACCGCCTGCCGGAATGCTGCCAGCCCCGCCGCCTGCATGCGCCGCTCCCTGCACAATGCAGGGCAGGCGGAAAGGCGCAACGGTCGGGCAGCGGCGCCACTCAGGCTGATGGGCCGCAAGAGGCGGCGGCAAAGGGAGCCCAAGACTGCCATACTTTGGGCAAGTACCCCAACCTAGCGACCCCCCGCAGCCCGCCAGAGGCGCCCACCTGTGGGCCTCTGCCGCATATCCCAGCATGGCCTGCCGCCGCTGCTCCTGCGCCTGCAGCACGTGCAGCTGCCAGGCGCGCCAGCAGGCCTCCGCCAGCTGGTAGTTGTGCTGGTGCAGGCGGGCGCCCACCTCCTCCTGCCACAGGCCCACTGCCGTGCTGAACACGCGGTACAGCAGGGCCTGCAGGACACAGGCAGTACGTGGAGCTAGGCTGAGGCACCTATGAGAGACAATCGAGATGCAGTACAGCGGTACAGCCGACAGGCAGCGCTCCGTGGCCTGTTGTCCAGGCTTGATGCGTGCCCCGACAGTGGCAGGTAGGCAGGCAGGCTGGGTGGAAGAACCTTCCCCCGGCAGCGCACCCTGCTGTGCTGCACCCAGCGCCACTGCCGCACAGCAGCCTCCAGCAGGCGGCGGTGGTAGACCGCCAGCGCCGCACGCAGGCGGGCCGCCTTCTGCCGCCGCGTCCTGGCCCAGCCGCGCCAGCTGCAGGACCAGATAGGGGCACAGCAACACCACGGCAGCTTTGCTGGCAGAGCGGGGTTGCCCCGAGGCAATGCCCGTATGTCGCCAACACGAGTCCCTGGCAAGCAGCAGGCGAGCGGGGCTGACTCACCCTTGCAGCACGCCACGCAGCCGCAGCTGCATCACTTGCTCGTGCAAAGCATCCCGCCAGCGCTCGTGCCGCACGTGCTGCCGCCAGGCGCGCATGCCGTGCCCCAGAAGCCGGCGGCGGGCACACCCATCTGCAGCTGCCTCTGCCTGCCGCAGCCAGCGGTGCCCCGACGCGGCCGCGCGCCAGCGGCGCAACAGCCAGCGACGGCGCAGAGCGGCGGAGGCTGCGGCGAGCCAGGCGGCCGCGTCTGCTGCGTGGCTGTGCCAGACGTGGAGCACTGCCTTGAGCCGGCGCCGCCGCCAGCTGTCTTCCACAGCCAGCATGGCTGACCGCGTGGCCGCCGCCTCCTGCCGAAGAACAGCCAGGCCGCGGCGCAGCAGGCAGCGGGCGGAGAAGCGAGCCGCCGCCTCGTCCACTGCAGTGGGAGGGCAGTGCGAGTCAAGGGCAGGCTTACCCAGGCTTGCTTGGAGGATGCATGCACTGGAGCAAAGCTGCCTGTGTTGATGTGCGTACAGGTGAGGAGGTTGTGGGGTGCCTGTCTCACCCGTGAGCGGCGGTGGCGGCACAGCGTCGGCCTCTGGGCTGCCCAGCTCGGAGCTGCTGCTGCAGGACCAGCCTGAGGGCGGCAGGCACAGTACCAGCGGCCCCGCTGCTGGAGCTTGCACCCCGCGGGAGCCACCTGGGGCTGCGGCTGCGGCTGCTGGCACGAGGGGCGAGCAGGAGCCTGCGCCTCCCAATCCCCCTGGCTGGCTGCCGGCTGCCACTGCGGTGGCAGCTGCCGGCGGCGGCCTGCGCTGCTGCACCGGCGGCGGCGACGGCAGGGCTGTGCTTCCCTGCTCCTGCTGTTGCACCGCATGCAAGCGGCGCTTCAGCGCGCCGCGGCGCTGCTGCGGGGCTGCCGCCAGCGCCGCCGCCACGGCATCCCTGTGCCGCTGCTGCAGCTGCTGCACTTGCGCCTGCAGCTGCACTGCTTCCTCTTGCTTGCGCATCACCTGCTGTGCCGCCTGGCGCAGCCGCCCCGCAGCTGCCTGCTGCTGCGCGGCCAGCAGGCGCTGCTGCTGCTCCGTGGCGCTCGCCTCCTGCGCAGCCGCCACCGCTGCCACTGCCGCAGCCTCGTGCCGCCCCATGGCAGCATTGAGCTGCTGCTGTAGGCACGCACGGCGCTCGGCGGCAGCCACGAGGCGCTGCTGTGCCTCCGCCAGAGCGCGCCTCGCCCGCTCTGCACGCTGCTCTGCCTCCTGTGCCGCCGCCTGCAGCTGCGGCAGCTGCTCTTCGGCAGCTGCCGCCTCCTGCCTGTGCCGCTCCAGCCGCTGCCTGGCCTCCTTCAGCCGCACCATCACCGGCGCCTGCTGCGTGCGGTGGCAGGCAGCCAGCTCCTTGGCAATGCCCTCCACAGCCTTGCTCCACCGCTGCACCCCCATGCCAGACAGAGCTTGCAGCTCAGCCGCAGCATTGAGTGCAGCGCGGGCCCCCGCCGCCGCCGCCGCCGCCTCCTGGCAATCCCCCTGCTGCTGCTGCACCTGCCGCTCCTGCGCATCGCACCCTGCCGCCGCGGCCGCATGCTCCTGCGCCGCCGCCTGCATGGCTGCTGCAGCTGCCTCCTTTGCAGCATCAGCAGCCGCACATGCCTGCCGCTGGCTGCCTGCCGCCTGCTGCGCCGCTTGCGCAGCCTGCTCCAGCTGCCGGCACTGGTGCTGAAGTCCCTCCGACTCCTGCACAGCAGAGGCACAGGGCAGCAGTGAGCACACAGCAGGGGGCATGCAGCTCAGCTCAGGTGTTGGGTCTGCCAGGACGAAAGCGATCTTTGGACCACCAGCCCAAAGCCGCGCCCCCGTGTTGCCTGCTCCAGCTCCGCCAGCTGCTGCTGCGGGCGCTGCACCCGCTCTTGGCACTCGACAAGCTCCGCCCCTACACCGGCGGGCGCGTCTGCTGCCACGGCGGCCGACCGCCGGGCCCTGCCAGCGTGCCCTGCTGCACCCCTGTGATGCTCCTGAGGGTTGTGCTGCGCCTGGCGGGTGGGGTGTCGGGCACGAGATTGTCCAGTGGGGGGCTGCCTGGGTCTGGCGCTGGAACTGGGGCAACACGCCCTGCCGCTGGCTCGCCAGTGCCGCTCTCCTCGCCAGCCGCCGCTGCAACTCCTACACCAACAGCCAGAGAAGGCAGCTGCATGCGTGTGGCTGAGCCGTCCGCTGCCAGGGGCTGCTCTGTCACGTTGGCGGGCAAGCCAGGCAGCGCCGGCGCCTGCTGCTGCTGCCTGGGAGGCGGCACCAGTGCCAACAAGGCCTCAACCGAGCCCATTGAAGCTCCCAAATGCTGCTGCTGCCGAGCCCATCCTTCCAAGCCGCCGTGCCAGCCCGCTGCTGCCATGCTTCTGCTGCCTGCCGCCGCAAAGCGCAGGCCCTTGCAGAGCTGCCCCAGCTGCTGCACGGCTTCCGCCACGAAATCTTTGATGGGCTGGAAGGCGGCGGCAGTGACGGCCAGCGCTTCCAGCTGAGATGGCAGCTGTGGGCGCTGACCTGCCCCGCCGCTGCAATCTGCCCCGCTGCCGACACGTGGCATCTGCGGGCTCAGCAGCGCTGATTTCAGAAGCGCAGAGCGGCTGGCTGTCCGCCGCCATGCGGCAAACACGCGGCGCCTGCCCCACGCCGCCAGCCAGCGAGCAGCGAGCGCCTCCTGCAGCCGCCGCACCAGCTGCTGCTGGCAGTAGCACCGCCAGTGCTGCACACCCGCTGCCAGCAAGTGCCGGCGAAGCGCCATCTGGCCACGCGCAAGCTGGCGCCGCCGCCAGGCGCTGCGCGCGGCCGAGCGCCGCCACGCCGTCAGCTGCGCCCGCTGCCGTCGCTGCCTGAGCTGCCGGGCCAGACCCTGCGCCGCTGCCTCCTGCTGCTGGGTGGGCACCGCTGCTGCATGCCAGCCCAGCAACGCTGAGTGGCAGAGGTCTGCTGCCGCACTGGCTGCCACGTGTCCCAGCAGGCGCTGGCGTAGGCGCCCTGCAGCCACCTCCTGACGGAGCACAGCAAGCCCCAGCTTCAGGAGCAGCTTTTGGCGCAGGCTGCCCAGCAGCTGCATCTGCAGCTCAGAAGCCTCGGGGCTGGGCCACGCCACCTGCAACCACGAAACAAAAAGGAACGGCAGCGGCATGAGCGACAGCCAACTGAGCGCAAGAACAACAGCGCAGCGGTCGGGCACACGCAGTGGTGCTGGAGCAGCAAGGTGTGCTGCACCAGGGGGGCAGCAGCGCGGTACCTTGGGCCTGGGCTGCAGCTGGGCCCCGGGGCTGCTGCTCCTGCTGCTGCGGTGCTTGCTGTCCAGCGAGCTCGACCTGCCAGACAGCCAGGGCCCGGGCGGCGGCCTGGGGCTGCTGCTGCTGCTGCCCCGAGGGCTGCGGCTGCGCCCACGCTGCAGGTTGGTCTGCAGACAGAGGAGTGAGGAGTGGCGGAGTTGATGGCAAACAGGCATGGAAGAGGGGAGGCGGTTCTGCCACACCAGCAGAAAGCCGCAAGCCCTGCGCTGCTGGCAGGGCACAGCAGCCCACCTGATGGAAAGCTAGGAGCATGCGCAGCTGGCGCAGCCGCCGGACCAGCGGCAGCAGCTTGGAATCGACCGCTGCTGCCCGCTTGGCTGCCACCACTAGCTGCACCGCCCGCAGCTGCACCCACTGCAGCTGACAGTCGCTGCCTGAGCTGCCCTGGCTGCTGCTGCTTGCCACCAGGCTCCCAACGCTGTTCTGCTGCCGCGGCGAAGCCAGCAACCCCAGGTAGCACAGGGCTGCCTGCAGGGTGGCAGGCGGCTGCTGCTGGCTGCTGCAGGCTGCGGTGCTGGCATCGCATGCGGCTTCTGCCGGCTCAAGGGCTGCGCTGTCGCCGCCTGCCGCCGGCTCGGCGTTGACGCTCGCTACTGGGCGGTAGGCGGCGATTTGAAAGCCCTCATGCTCGCTGGTAGCTTGGTGTGTGCCGCTGCTCCCGGCTGCAGCAGGCCCTGGGGCAGGTGGCGGCGTGGCCAGCACCCGCATGCCTACCAGCACATGGTGCGGCAGCGCCACGGCTGGGGGGGGCTCCTGCAGCACCTGCGAGCCGCAGCCTGCCAGCGCGCTTTCCACGCCGCGCAGCAGCGCCGCCTGCTGCTCCGCCTCCGCCGCTGCCGGCACGGCAGCTGCTGGCGCACCGCGACTGGCGGCGGTGTCGTCGGGCGCTGGGCGAGCTGCTCTGGCCTCCGCATCCTGGGCTGCAGGCACCACCCCTTCTGCGGTCGCCGCTGCTGGAAGCGAGTGTGGCAGTGCCGATGCCGCCGCGCCGCTACCCGCCATGGCCCTGCGCCTCAGGCTGGCCAGTTTCAAGTGTGCCAGGCCCGCCGGCCGAGACGAGGCGCTGGCGCTATCGTCCGCCGCATTGGCTGCCCCAGGGCTGGTTTGCTGGTTGCCGGACCCAGCTTCCGACCCCTCTGGCGAGTTGTAGGCAGGCCCCGGACGCCGCTCCTTCAGGTTGAACGCCACGCTGCGGGCCGGCCCCCCGCTGCCTCGGTCGCTGCCGCTGCCGCTGCTCCTGGGCCGTGGCTGCGGCTCGGCTCCGCGCTCTACGGCCCGCCCCCGAGCGGGCTGGAGGCTGAGCGGCTGGAAACTGTAGGCCAGACCGGCCAGCGCCTCTGCCGTCATGCCGTTCTCAGCACCTGGCTGGGTTCATAGATTTGTCTAGGCACGGAAATCTGTCTAAGCGCAATGCCAGTTGGCCAGGCTGCGCCGCACGGGAGGGGACAGCTCCACGCAGTTACGGTTCGAAAGGGAAGGCCCCACCCTCAACGAGGATCAGGAGGCACCGCTTCATATTGAGCAGCAACGCCCTCACTCAAGCGACAACACTCCGGGAGTTCTGACTGGAGTCCAGTCACTGCACACAGCACGGGAGACCTAGCCTAGGGCTGCCGGCTAAAGTTAAAGCTTTAGGTTTACTATAAACTACACTACCATATTTAAAGTATACAATTGGTCGGGGCCCGAGTTAGCGGAAAAATAAAGCCGGTCTAAACTTTAAAATCGCTCTAGAAGCCCTAGTACGCTCTACTGCCACGCCGGAAAGAAAGCTCCAGCCCTCGTTCAAAATGCAGCGTCGGTGCGGCGTGCAGCAAGCCTCCCAGCCCCTTTCACCCGCCACCCGCCACTGCCGCCATGTCCAGCCCCGCCGCCCTCTGCCCCGGCCGCGCGCCTGCCAGCCAGCAGGCCTCTTTGCGCCCCTCTCTGCTCAAACTTCGCGAGCAGAAGGAGCGCTTGGTGCGCAAGGACCCGGCCCACCTGTTCTCCAACTTCAACAACGTTCTTTGAGCAGGGCACCACCAATGAGCTGGCGGGTGCACTGACGGTGAGGTTCTTCTTGTTTGTTGGTTTGTTGTCATGTGGTTGTGTGATGAGGGTTTTTGGGCTTTGCTCAGCTCTTGCATGTGTGGATGTAACCAGCGTGTGCCGCTGAGCTGTGGCAACTGTGTATCCCGTCCCTCAGCAGGGTTCTGCTGCTCTGCTCACTTTTCATGTGCCCTCTTGGCCCCCTTGCAGTGCAACATGACGATCAAGGACAAGATGGTGCACGTGCCCTGCGTCACGCGCGTGCAGCTGGTGTGGCGGGCGGAGATGGCGGCAGATTTCCCCGACCTGGCAGTTGTGGCGGACAAGACCCTGGGTGTGCACCCCACCGGCACCGGCGTTGAGCGCTTCTGGGCCTGCCAGCGCCACCTTTTGTCCGACAACCGCCTCAGCATGAACCCTGAGACCGCCAAGAAGCTGCTGTTTGCCTCCTCAGCACTGCGCATGCGCCGCAAGGAGGCCAGCGAGTGCACCAACGACGGCGACGTGCTGCTGCAGGACCTGATCGACGAGGAGATCAAGAACGCGATGCAGGCAGCGGCAGCCATGGCCGCAGCTGAGGCCGGCACGCTGAGCTGAGGTGGCCTTCCTGGCGGCGGTGGTGCCTGGCAGCAGGGCGCCTTGATGCAGCAGGCCGCGGCGGCCTGTGGCGGCGGCCCGTGCGGCAGCCCTGGCGGCAGCCCTGGCAGCAGCCCTGCTCACTCCTGACCCTTCCTCTGTGCTCAATCACACTTTTGCTGCTCCCACTACTGCTATGGACGCTCAGGCAGCGCCCAATTCTCATTTCCTGCACTTTAGTGTTTTGCTCTATTAAAGCTTTAGGTCCTGGGCCATGCTTTAGCGCCTGCTGGTGCTAATATAGAACCCCCAAATTTAGTAAAGCACTCTAGAATCTATAGAGGAATGCTTTCGCAGCGTGCTGACGTGCTGTAGTAGGCAGCCCTAACCTAGCCGGATTTGGAACAGCTTTGGAACAGCTTTACCAGCCACCCAGAGCGATCAGTGCATCGATTGAGGGATATTAACCGCTCCCAAGCCTCAGCCGAGCAGGCTGGTCCACCACAGTGTCCCAATCGAGTTTGCACGGCACGCCAGTCGCCACCCAGGAACACCAGCTGGTTGTCTATTCAGCTGCAGACGCTGGGATGGACCCGGCGCCCGGCCCACAGGCCCCCGCCGTGGAATCCGTAGCTGCCGCCCCGGCTCCCTCCGAGTCCGGCGAGCTCTACAGCCCCAGCTTGTCGGTTGCAGGTGAGTCACTGCGCTATCGGTGCTTTGCAGTGTGTGCAGACCTGCCATTGTCGCAACGTGCCCCACACAAGTGGCAGGAGGCAGAACACAAGTTCTGCCTCCTGCACCTCCTGCACCGCAGCAGTACCCACCCGCCCCTGCCCCCATTGTGCCCCCTGCCCGTCACAGGTATCGTGTGCATCTGCATTGGCATTGCGACGCTGATGGGGGTGATGGTGGTTGGAGCCCTGATTGCACGGCGGATCATAGAGCGTTCGGCCGCAGCCGCGCGGTCGGCTGACGCGTCAGGCAAGGAGGCTGACGCCAAGCTCTCCGTGATTCCTGTGATCATTCTGCAGCCCGACCACTCCATCGGAATGGCTCTACAGTTGGCCGATGGTGCGTCAGATGCCCCATGGCCGCATGCCGAGGCAGCGACAGGTCGCTGCGGTTGCAGCAGCAGCACAGCTCCCAGCGAGCATGCCAACACCAGGAGCGGCGATGGGAGCAGCAGCGGCAGCAGTGGCAGGAGTAGAAGCGACAGCAGCCGGCACGGCAGGAGCAGAAGCTGGAGCAGCCGAGCCGCTCGGCATATAGAGGCCGCCTGCTGTGTTCCATTTTTTGTCGGTGCCCCCTGATCTTGCCACATTGTGTAGAACATCCTTTCGTAGACGTCTGGCCGGTGCCTTTTATAGTCAGTCATGCCTTGCCAGTGATTATGCATGGCTGGCTTCCATGCACGGCGGGCTTCCACCCACCATGGAACGGCGCCAGATGGCCGCCAGCCGGGTTGTGTGCAGCCTTCTTAAATTCGGCGACTCTAATCGGCGCGCCCATCCTTTGGCTGCCATTGCATACCCTCCGTGTGCTGCTTCTTGCTCTGTCAGAACACAAACTCGCAGCAACCACCTCTCGGTGCTTTGTCGAAAGGCGGTCTGGGCACTTGTCAGGATCGGCGCTGTGACCTGTCGGCAAGAATTTGAATCGTGCAGCAGCTGGGCGACAGTTGGCCGCGAGGATGGAGTCGCCCGCCGCCGGCAGCGGTGTCGGCGAGCCTGCTCCGACTGCGGCCCGTCACCCAGCTGACACCGATGACGCGCACCTGATTGCACCAAGCCGACAGGCATCCTTTGAGGCGCAGCCCGCCCCTGGCTGGGTCTCCGCCAAGCAGGTGGGTTGCTGCCTTGTTGCGGGGCCAGTGCCCGACCGCATGCCTGCAGCTCTTGCTCCTCGCCAAAACGCACACACTCGCACCCACCCAGCGCTTTTGACCCCTGCACCTGCAGCCGCCATCGGCAGTACTTTCACACCATCATACTGGCGACGGCGGTGACGGCAGCCCCCGCATCGGAGCCGTGCGGCACACGGCCACCGAGCAGGGCGGCTGGCTGAGCGGCTTTGGTCTGAGCAGCCTCGTCAGCTCCCTGCTGCTGCTGGGAGCAGATGGCAGCGGCAGCAGCAGAGCAGCAGATGCAGCGGCAGCCAAGGCAGGTCCAGCCGCGCCGCCCTCAGGCGGAGTAGCAGAGGCGCCGGCAGCCGTGCTCCCAGAGCTACGGGAGCTTGCTGTGGAGATCGGCGGCAGCAGTGACTGCGACTCGCAGAGCAGCATCTCCACTGCAGGCGACCACGAGCGCAGAAGCCCAGCGCACCTCATCGCAGCGGCGTGCCGGTGGCAGCCCAGCTCCCTTGCTGCAGCTGCACCGTCACCATCTGGCAGCGCAACTGGAGGCGAGGGCAGCAGCGGTTGCACCAGCCGGGTGCTGGAGTTGGGTGGGGAGCAGCAGGGGCCGGAGGCGGCCCAAGAGCGGCTGGAGGAGCAGGCGCAGGCAAATGGAAAGGAGGGGGCAGCAGAGCGCCGCAGCCTCGTGCACCCCAGCTTTGGCCTGTGGCAGCAGCAGCAAGGAGCGGAGGTGGAGGAGCAGCCTGCAGAAGTGAGCCCCAGTGCCGCCAGCAGCCCAGCCTTGTCCAGCGCCAGCCTGCGCCCGCATGCGTCAGCTGTGCCCTCCCAGCCGCCAGCTGAGGGGCAGCCGGTGCGCAGCAGGAGCGACAGCCCGCCGCACCATCGCAAGGCCTGGGCAGCAGGCTGCTCCCACATTGAGCTTCACTTTGACGAGGCAGTGGTGCCTGGCATCCCCGACCAGGGCGGCAGCAAGCCGGAGAGCAAGGCCCTGGACGTGCCAGGTGCAGCAGCAGCAGGCCCAGCCACCCTCCGCGACCTGGCGCTCCTGTGGACGCCGCCCATGCTGCCCGCGGCGCCAGCGCCTGCAGCAGCAGAAGCGGTGGCCGGGCGCGCCGTTGGCCCTGCGCATGCTGTTGGGGTACCCGCGGCTGGGCAGTACGATCAGGTGCTGCACCGCTTTTGCCAGCTGGACGTGACCAAGCTCAAGTGAGGAGGCTGCCCCCCAGGCTCTGCGCCCGCTGCGCCGCTCTAGCCTGCCCGCCTAAATGACCGCAGCTCGCTCCCTGCTCTTTGCCTCTTTGCCTCATGCCTCAGCGTGCCTGCCCAACTCCATCCGCCTGCAGGCGTGCGGTGCGCGCGAGCCTGAAGCTGCAGCAGCCCCCAGCTCAGGCGCCGTCTCTGCTGAAGCGGCTGGCGTCACGCATTGGGAAGAGCAGGATCAGGTGAGGCCTGGCCTGGCTAGCTGTTGCCGATGGTAGCGGGAGATCTGTGGGACGGCGGCCTGCCCTCTCATGATTGCCCAGACTACTCAGCGTCAACTGAAAAATGTGCCTGCCGACTGCAGGCGCAAGCTGGAGCGGCAGCGTGTGCGGCTGCTGTGCCTGGGCCGCATGCCGTACTGCCCCGATGAGCTGCTGCACTTTGAGTGTTGGCAGGCGGTGTGCCGCGGCTTCACGGGTGCGCACGCCGCGAATTGGTCATGCATTGCCAGTTCGGAGGTCGCTGCTGCAGGTTCCAGCAAGGCGCAACAGCCAACCATGCCAAGGGCGCCCCGCTGGCTGCCATGCTGGTTTGCTCTGCAGGCATGGATGCAGTACCTACTGCCGAGCAGCTGCAAGGCGGCGGTACTGTGCCCTGGGAGGCGCTTGGCTTCAGTGCCGCCAACCCGGCTGGGGATCTTGGGGAGACGGGCGTGCTGTGCCCGCTGCTGCTCCTGTTGCTGCTGGACCGCTCGCCACAGTCGGCGGCGGCGCTGCTGGCGGCGGCGCGCGGCCAGCCGGTGCAGCTGCCGGGGCAGCAGCTGGGCGGCGAAGAGCGAGTGCAGCCGCTGCAGCGACCGCCGGGCTTTGCGCTGGCCGAGGTGGCGGTGCACTCCGCAGCGTGGGTGCAGCGGCGGCTGGCTGGCGGCGGCCTGGCTGGCGAGGCGCGGCGGCTGGGCTCATACTTCCGAGCTGCAGGTGGGTTCTTGCATATGCTATACTCGGTCATTGCCTGCTTGCTTTGATAGAATCAAATGGCAGCATGCCAACCGACTTGTGCCAACCGACTGGTGCCTGGGCTCTGCTGCTGCTCCGTCTGGTGTGCAGAGCACCTCTTCCTGGCATTTGCCGACAGCTTCCTGCTGAGCTGGCAGGAAACTGCGGCAGCCATCGGCGTGGCGGGGGATGGCCCGCTGGCGGCACGGCTGCAGCAAGACCCCCGCCTCCTCCTGCTGGCGGTGCTGAGCCGGGCGGAGCAGCGGGCGAGGAGCAGCGTGGCAGGGCCGTTGGTTGGGGCGCCTGGTTCGGAGCGGCTCAGCGTGCGCAGCGCCGCCACTGTCAGCACAAGCGCCAGCGAGTTGTTGTAAGTGACCAATCCTGGGAAAATTCATGCGTCTGAGCAAACTCCAACTGTGTTTACATGCGTATATGTGTGTGGAAGAAATGGGGTGCATGCCAGGGTATTGCAGAGGCAGCGAAAGCGACTAACCATGGCACTAGTGGATGGACAGAGTCGGCACAACCAGGATAAACGAAAAAACGCGGCTGCTGCGCTGCTTCTGCTGTGGGTACAAGGAATCAAATCGGTGGGGTGCGGATCTGGTGTCGTCGATTGATGGCAGCCAGGAACCCAGGCTCACATGCCTGCGCGGACGTCGCCCACACTGTGGGGGATGCAGCTCGGTGCGGATGATGCACCCATCCATCAGGGCGCCAGGTTGGCCTTATCGTCCCTGGAGGCTGGGCTACGGCTGGGGCTGCGGGACCTGCTGGGCGACCTGCACATGCGCATCGTGAAATCCACAAGGGTGTTGCCTTGGCGATCGGGGGTGGTAGCCTGCTGACGGCCTTGCGGCGCAACCCAGCCACCGCACGGCAGAGGCTGGCACAGCGCGGGGCTCACAGCGAGCGCTCCCAGCGCACGCACGCTCAGTAGGTCATCTCCACAGGCCTGCGCCGCACAGCAGCCCAGCAGGCACAGCGGCGGCGCTGGGCGCTCCGCCAAGCGCGAGGGGCGACCGAGCGTGGCCGCCGCTGGCGGCCGGCGCGGGCTCACCTGCTGGGGCTGCGGGAGGGGCTGCGGCTGGGGCCCTCGGTCCACTTCCAGCCAAAGAAGTCAAAGTCCTTGCGCACCGCCCAGTCCACCTGCAGGCGTGAGCCAGGGTCAAGCCAGGGGCATGCGTACAGCTTATTAGCCGAGTCGTTCTTGAGAACACTTGAGTGATAGTCACGCCCGACGCTGCAGCAGGCCGGCGAGTGCCCAGGCGTGCAGCTGGCACCTGTGCCGCACGTGGCGGGCCTCACCTTCCAGCGGCAGCCGTCCAGGCGGAGACCGTCCAGCTTCTCCCAGGCACGCTGCGCGTCACGCGAGCTGCAGGCAGGCGGGCCAGGGGGCGGCGGCACGGGGGCGGCGGGCATGAGCGGGCTTGCGGGATGCCGACAAACGGGCACTGGCACGCAGCAGCAGCGTGGGTGCGGGGCAGGATGTTGTACACGGCAGGGCGGCGCAGGGCAGGTGCAGGTGCAGGCGGACCATCCCCGACGTCGGCTGCGTCAGACTCTGGTGCAGCGGCGTCGCCCCGTCAGCGTCTGGTGCGCTGGTGGGAGGCGGGCGAGTGCATCTTGCCAGGCTCAGCTGCGCACGGAGAGGGCCACTGGGGCTGGGCGAGGGCAGGGCAGGCTGGCGGGGTTGGGGAGGCGGGAGGGTAGGAGTGGCGGCGGCCTTACCTCTGGAACTCGACCAGGGCGCACCGCGCCCGCGCGTCGCGCTCCACGCACAGCACCTTGCCAAAGCGCTCCGACTCGTACTTGATGTCGCGGGAGCGGGTCACGGAGCTGCAGAGGCAATTCATTGAGAAGGTTTCTCAGTTTTCATTAATTGTTCAGGTTCAGGCACGCCTCTTTTCTTTTCAGAAAAAAACAAGAACGGGGAGGAGGGCGGTTGTGGACCGTGTGGTGGGGAGGGCGCCACCAGGCGGGGCGCCGGGCGGGCGAGGGCGCCGCGGCGGGCAGGCTGCGCAGGCGCCTCCTTTGCATATAGGAAGTCCCCTGGGGCTCTTTGATGTTGCAGCAGTGCCCGGGACCAGCACAGGGGCCTGCAGAGCCATACTGGCATCCAAGTCTCACACCATGCCCGAGCAAAACAAACCTGAGCGAGTCGATGATCAGGGTGTAGCGAGACTTGGACGACATGGCGCAGCGGTCCTCTGGGAGCAGCGGGGGTGCGGGGATGGGCAGGGACTGCTAGAACCTTCAGCAGCAGGGGTGGGAGCCTGCAGGGCGTGCGGTGCTCCAGAAGGTCGACCAAGGGGAGTGCAGGCAGGAGGCGAATGGGCAACGACCCTCCGAGGCAAGGGGTGAGAGGTCTCCAACCCTGACTGCCAGCGAGGCAGGACCCGCATTGTGACAATCCCGTTCTTTGCTCATATATTGCAGCGGTCCATGGCATGAGGAGGGAAAGAGGCGCCACGCACCGAGAGGAGGATGCCTGGGGCTCCGCAAGCGCCGACGAAGGTCCGCAGGGCCCCCAGGAAGGGTGCAGCACGATGCGCTGTGGCCAATTGATCAGACTGGATTGCAGCAGCGGCGACTGTGCCACCTCCACCACCCCGCCGCCGCTGCTCCCCGCCTGCAGGCAAAGTGCCGCAGTGGACCGCCCTCCCAAAGCCGTCCGCAGCTCCGAGGCGCGGCTTGGAAGCACCAGCAGCCCGTCCATTGCACCAGCAGCAGCAGCAGCAGCAAACGGGGCCGCCCTCGTTGCTGTCTATCTGCCTAGGCAAGTCGCCGCCGCCGCCCTGGTACAGAGCCTGCATGCTCAGCATCTCCCCGCGCTGGTTTCCCACCCTTATGCCTGGCAGCCCGGCTGCTTGCAGGGGTGCTGGGGGAGCACCTGGAGGAGCTGCTGTCCGACCCGGGCTGCGCCGAGTATGTGCTGCCGCTACTGCCAGCCGAGGCCAAAGCGTGCCTGCTGGCGGTGGCACGCCTGCGCCGGCTGCTGTGCGACGCCGCCCTGCTGCTGCTGGCAGACCAGGGGCAGCACATACTGGACCTGCGCGGCTGCGGCGACCTGCTCAGCGACAGCGGCATCCGGGCAGCCATTCGGCGCATGCCAGACCTGCGGCTGGCAGACCTGACCTCCTGTCCTGTCGGCGCCGACACGCTGCGTGCGCTGGGCGAGGCCTGCCCTGGGTTGCACGTGCTCCGCCTGGGCAGCCCACTGACGGACGCATCCGCTGGCAGGTTGGTGGCCGCGCAGAGCCCAGCCTGCGCCTCTACATTGCGCCTTGGCACGCGCTGGCATCCCACCATCTACGCCTCGCTCCCCGCTGCCCGCCACGGCTGTGTGTGCAGGGGACTGAAGGACGTCCTGCCAGTGCTGGAGCAGCGCCATGCAGCGCCAGCAGCCGACTCGTGGGATGCCCTGCTCGAGGTGGAGGGAGACGAGCAGGCTCTGCTGGCGGCGGTGGCAGGCGGCGCGCGCCTCATGCAGCTCCATTGCCTGGCCTGGCCCAACATCCCACATCGCCTGGCGGAGCACTGCCGGGCTGCCTGCCCCATGGTGGCGCTGAATCCATCGGAGGAGCAGGTGGTGGCGCTGCGGCTGATGCCGGCCTGCGACCCGGCAGTGCAGCTGGATGCGGCGCTGCTGGCAGGTAGGGCCAGGGGCACTGGTGCTGGGGCCAGCAGAGGGGCCGCCTGGATGCTGCTGATGCATTTCGTCCTGTCATGCACACCTTACATGCACAGCGCCTGCCAGACCCTGCCCCGTCTCTGCCTGTGTGCCTGCCGCCGCAGAGGTGGCGGGCAGCGAGCGCTGGCAGGCGGGCGCCAAGGAGCAGCCCAGGGAGCCAATTGTGCACATAGCCGAAAAGTTTCGGTTGGCGTATCTAAGCCGTGCCCAGCGTGTGAGCGCAAAGATGGAGCGGAACTGGCAGCAGGCGCGGCGGCGCGAGCTGCGGCGCAGCAAGGGCGAGGCGCTGATTCGCCAGTGGGAGAGCGAGTTTTGACCATGCCTTGCCGCGCAGCCGGCCGGCTGCCGCATGTAAACAAAAACAGCGAGATCAATAGCCAGTGAGAGACAGCAGACTTGTTTCAGCCATGTACTCCAGATGACAGCGCCCGGCAGCGGAGCATGCGCAGCGTGCCGCCACATGCGCCAATGTGTTGCACACGACACCGGTTTGCGCATTCCACAGCACCCAAGCACCAATGCAAGCTGCAGTGCGCGGCGGTCTTGGCCGATTGCTGTCTTCCACACTCCAGCGCCATCTTGTTTGCCCTTCACGGGTCTCGTGCTCGTACTTGTGGCGATCCGCAACATTCACGAAGCCCGCCACGTTACGGTTTAAACCCCCTGCCGACGGCACTCCGCCATTCTCGTCACGTGCCATGGCGGCAGCCGCGGTAAGGCAGCCGTAGGATAGGAGAGGGTGCTGTTGACAAGTTGACAACAGCCCTCCCTACTGCCACCGCCACCCTCACTGCTTGCAGCAGGGCACCATCGGGCTGCAGATGGAGCTGGTGGAGGTGGACAACACGAGGGAGGAGCTGAACTTCATCCTGGGTGCGCCAGTGCTGCCACCCGCCCCACTCTGTGGCACGCTGCTGCCCCGCTCCCTGCCTCCCACTGTGCATGCCATGGCATGCCCAGCCACCACCCTGCTCTCCCTTTGGGGTGCGCATTTGGGATGCAGTCCGGCGGTTGGATGGCGGGCATAGCTGACGCGAGCACCCCGCACTGTGCGGACCACATGCAGGTCAGGCGCACTTCATCAAGACTGTCGAGGACCTGGCAGAGGCGCTGTTCCAGAGCGGCCCCTCCATCAAGTTCGGCCTCGCCTTCTGCGAAGCCTCGGGCGACCGCCTCGTGCGGTGAGGCGGCGGGGTGGGCGGGAGCGAAGAGGGACGAGCCAGCCAGCCAGCCGGGCGTGGGTGTGGAAGGCGTGGTGGCATGGTGATTGCAGCCCTGTGGATAACCAGGGCATGCCTGCCATCACCGCTGGGAAACGACATGCGTCCTGAGCGTGTCTGGTGCTGCCGCTGCTGCACAGGTATGATGGCAACGACGAGGCGCTGGTCGAGCTGGCCAGGAAGAATGCGCTGGCCATCGGCGCCGGCCACAGGTGGGCGTGCTGGGTGTCGCAGCTAGCTTGCGCACAGGAGGCGCATGAAGGCTCTGCCTCCCCAATTCACTCCTGTCCCCTGTCCCACTGTGCAGCTTCATCATCTTCCTGAAGGATGCGTTCCCAAGTGAGAGGTTGTGTGCGGGGCGTGGCCTGGCGAGGCCAGGGCACCATCCGCACCGCTTGGGCAAGGCTTTGTGCAGCCTTGCACCGCATGACCTCAACACCCACACGCTCCTACCAATGCCCCTTGCCACACTCCCCCAACTCGCCCTGCCCGCAGTCAATGTGCTGAAGGCTGTCTCAAGCTGCCCCACGGTGTGCCGCGTCTACTGCGCCACAGCCAACCCCACGGCCGTGGTGGTGGGCAGGGATGGCGGTGACCGGCGCGGCATTCTGGGCGTGCTGGATGGCTTCTGCCCGCTGGGCGTGGAGAACGAAGCAGGTGCGCGGGGCTCGGCAGCCACTTGCCCCTCTCCCACTCCTCGCTGCTTTGCTTGCATCGCACCTGTCACGGTTCTGTGTGGCTGGGCGGGCCTTGCTGCAGACCAGCAGGCGCGCAAGGATCTGCTGCGCATGATTGGTTACAAGCGTTGATGAAGGGAGATCAGCGCGGGTGAAGAATACGGCAAGCGAAGCGGCGGGTGGGCGGTCGCCAGGGTGATGAACTGCTGAGCTTTCCATGGTTCTTACATGTAACCAGGCAGTCGCTCGACCTCACCAAGTGTTCACGGGGTACCACACTGCGACGCATTCACACATGCCAGCGAGACTAGCGCCCCGCCGGCGCTGAGCTGGCCCGCCAACATTGAGGGCTGCTGCTCGCCTTCCGCCGCCCTCCCACGCTTGCCGGCGCGCCATTCTCGGCTTCACGCCACCCACCACACCAGCATGGAGCAGGAGCCGGAGGGTGTCTTTGCGCTTCAGCTGGATGAGCAGGAGCCCAAGGGCACGCCCTCACCCGAGCCCAACAGCACACCGGGATGCTCCACTCCCATCAATAGGCTGAACAGCGACATTGCGATCGAGCGCCGTGTCATTCCGCTGCTGGAGTACCACGACGACTGCTGTCCCGTCTGCTTGGATGAATACACGACCGAAGACCCCGGGGCGCCCACGGTTTGCGGGTGAGTGGGGCCGCTGCGCGAACGATGGTGGGCCCGCCGCCGCCTACAGCCGCCACCGACCTGCTGACCATTGGCTGCTGTATCCCCATCCCCCTCGCCGTCCTGCAGGCATCACTTTCACCTCCAGGTAGGCCAGCAACCCACCAAGCTGATGACAGCCCGCTGCTGCCGCTGCTGTGGTGTGCTGCCCGTGTGCTGCGTGCGGTGGTTGGAGGCAGGAAAAGGCGCAGCAGGTTGGGGGATTCAGCGAATTGGGTGCTTCAGCTGGAATATTGCTGTCCCAGCACCTTTCTGTGAGCAGCACACACCGTGACGGTACTGCCTGCCGCCGCCCCCCGCCCGCCTGGCTTGCAGTGCATCATGCAATGGGCGCAGCGCAGCCGCGAGTGCCCGCTCTGTTTCAAGAGCCTGCAGCTGGAGGTGCGGCGCGGTGCCAGCTGCTATGCCGCGCCTGCCTGCCTGGGCATGTGCAGCTGCAGCGGCGATGGGGGGATGAGGGAGGTTGGGGCCGAGCAGCCGATGTGCTTCTGCCGCAGCCGCCATTGCACGCCATCGCCGGCCGTCGCGCGTCTCGCTGCTGCCCGCCACCCGGCCCATCCCATGCCTCCCTGCTGCCGCCGCCCCCGCCGCCGTCTCTGGCGCTGCAGGACACCGACATGAACTCGCTGCTGCCCTTTGGTGAGTACATATCACCGCAGCAGCGCGCGGCGGAGGCCGCCTCTCTAGAGACTTGGGACCTGGAGCGGCTGCTGGTGCGCCTGGCCGCCGCCGGCCACCGCGAGCACCGCAGCCACCGCTCGGCGCGGCAGCACGGCGGCGGCAGCAGCCGGCACCGGCGGCAGGGCTCGCGCGGCGAGGCGTCGGCGCCGCAGCCCATCGCGGCCGCGGGCGGCGCCGGCGGCGCCTGCGTCGCGGCGGTGCGGTGGGCGCTGCCCGGCGAGGGCGCCGCCACAAGCAGCAGCGTGGCGGCGGCGCCGGCAGCGTCAGCAGCAGCATGCACGATGAGGGGCACGTGGTCAGCCCACGCAGCCGCTCGGGCAGCCTGTCGCTCAAGGGGCGGCTGGCGTCCTTGAGGCTCAAGTGAGCTGTCTGCGCTGGGGCGGGGGCGTGGGGCTTGGGCTTGGGGCTGGCGGGATGCATGGGACACACATGTGCCCGCCCCATTGTGTGTTGCTGCGGCGGGGTCATGGCACCGCTGAGCAGCATTTGGTGCAGAGGCATCGGTTGTCTGCCGCCCGGCTCACAGCCACCTGCCCGCCTGCATGGCGCAGGGACAAGTTTGAGAAGACGACCAAGGAGCTGAAGAGCCTGTTCTCCCCCGGGGCCAGCGGCAGCGGCGGCGGCAGCGCGCGCGGCGGCGCGCCCGGCGCCAGCACCAGCCAGCAATAAGAGCGGCATGGCGCGCTGGGCCAGTCTTTGGGCGCTGCCATGGCCAGGCTCGCCATGCCCCAGCCTCCCCCTGCTCACAGCCTGTAGTTGCCCGTCCTGTACGCTCGTGCACCCTTCTGTTTTTCAGCTCTTCCCCTGCCCCGCGCCTGCTTTTGTTGCTTTACCAGGCGCCCTCTGCTGCTGCTCCTGCCATGCTCTGTACCGTGCCTGGTGGTTGATTTCTCCTATCGTTCAGTACATGGATGCCCCCCTTGCCTGTAATCCCCCACACAGCAGCCGTGTGCAGCAGCGGCGGCGACTGTCGGCAGCGGCGCTGGGAGGTCAGCCTCTGCGGCACCTCCTCTTGCCGCGCAGGCAGCCCCACAGGCAACTGTGCCAAAATACCCCACCTCCGACCCGCATAGACACCGTTTAGTGGCCTGTTGATAAACCTCACAAACTCGTAGCACGGCCGAGCAGGCAGGTGATGACCTGAGCTTGTTCTCCCCTCCTCCCCTCCCATTCTCAGCCATTTCCTGCTCCCATTCCTTCCTGAGCCACCCCAACATCTAGTCTGTGGCCCTGACAGCGAGCCGTGCCCTCGCTGGACTGGCCCGGCGGACTGATGCCTGCAGCCGTCTCAGCCGCGTTTCCCTGTTCCAGCTGAGCCATGTGCGGCATCAGCCTGCCCTCCTTGCCACGGGGCGTCAGTTTTCGCAGAGTGGCCAGCAGTCAAGCTCTGCACGAGGCTGCAGACGGGGCCGAGACGGGTAAATGGCTTGTCAATGGGCCCTACAGCACAGTAGGCGGGCCCTGGGCGCCCGGGAGGGCGGCTGGGGCCTTGATAGCGCGCCAGGTCTGCGGAGGCTCAGGAGCCGCACACTCCCACTTGGGCGCGCCACTTGCAGAGCTCCCCCTGAAGCCCTCGAAGTCGGCCACGTCGCTGTTGGCCGTGCTGGACAGCGCAGTGGTGGCGGAGCTGGCCTCTCTGCGCACAACCCTTGATCCCCACAGGTGGGCGCCTGCAGCCGTCTCCCAGCCTTCCCTCCAGCCTTCCCTGCCGCTGTGTCTGTGCTCTGGGCGGCTCAGAGCCGCCGGAAAGGGCGCCCCGGTCAACCCCCCTCCCTGCCCCCGGCTGTGCACCGCGTGCCGTGCAGGTTGTCGGCCTCTGCCTCGGCACAGAGCAGCAGCGGGGACGACACAGCCCGCGGCAGCCCCACCTCCAGCTACGAGCAGCTGCTGCGCTCGCGCTCGCCGTCGGCGGTGCTGTTTAGCGGCGAGGAGGCGGCGGCGGCGCGGGACGCGGCGCTCTGCGCCGCCGCCGCCAGCCGCGGCCTGCCGCAGCCGCAGGGCGAGCAGGCAGCATTCGCTAGCCAGGCTGCCGCAGAAGCCTGGGACGCCGGCCTGCTGGCCGGCGACCATCCCTTCCTAGAATCAGCCGCCAGCTTCAGCGTAGTGGAGGTGGCGGCGGCGGGCGGCGGCCCAGCCATGCCGCCTGCGGCGGCACCCCTCCGCGACCCCCTCCCCGGCAGCGCCAGCCCTCCCCCGGGCCTGGACGCCGCCGCCGCAGCAGCCGCGGCAGCCGCTGAGTCGAACGCCGCGGTGGCCGCCTCAGACGACCCCATCTGTGCGGTGGCCGCCAAACAGTGCGCGGCGGCGGCGGCGGCGGCGGCCGAGGACGCAGCCGCCGCCTCGCCTCGCTCCGACGACTGCCCCGCCTACTCGGCGCCCTCCCTGTCTGTGGCGGCCGCCGCCGCCGCCTCGCCCTTTGCGGGCATGGCGCAGCAGCAGCTGCCCAGCCTCATCTCCCACTCGCCGCCACACCCGCACCAGGCGCTGCGGCGCGGCGACGGCGGCAGTGTGGCCGGCTCCGAGGGCAGCAGCAGCAGCCCCAGTGCGGGGTCGGGCCACCACTCCCGCAGCGGCAGCCTGGCGGCGGAGATGCGGGAGCTGTCCCTGTCCCGCCGCGGCTCCATCGACTGCACCGTGGGCCACTCCAGCCATCTGTGCGAGGGGCACGCCGCCGAGGAGCTCTTCTACCGCCTCAACCATGCCCGACAGACAGTCGACTTTGTCAAGCGACAGGTGCGGCCCGCTCCCCGCGCCCCAGCCTG